AACCTCTGCCTCCTGGGTTCAAGCAATTCTCCTGCCTCAGCCTCCCAAGCAGCTGGGATTACAACAGCTGCCTGCCACCATGACTAACTTTTTGTATTTTTAGTAGAGATGGGGTTTCACTATATTGGCCAGGCTAGTCTCAATCTCCTGACCTCGTGATCCACCCGCCTCAGCCTCCCAAAGTGCCGAGATTACAAGCATGAGGCACCGTGTCTGGCTTTTTTTGGTGATTTTTTTAAAATTGTGGTAAAATATACATAACACAAATTTATTATTTTAACTTTTTTTTTTTTTGAGATGGAGTTTTATTCTTGTCACCCAGGCTGGAATGCAATGGCAGATCTTGGCTCACTACAACCTCTGCCTCCTGGGTTCAAGTGATTCTCCTGCCTCAGCCTCCTGAGCAGCGGGATTACAGGCACCCACCACCACCCCCGGCTAATTTTTGTATTTTTAGTGGAGACAGGGTTTTGCCATATTGGCCAGGCTGGTCTCGTACTCCTGACTTCAGGTGATCTGCCCACTTCGCCCTTCTAAAATGCTGAAATTACAGGCTGGGTAAGCCACTGCATCTGGCCTCATTTTAACTATTTTTAAGTGTATAGTTCACTGACATTAAGTACATTCACAATGCTGTGCAACTATTACCTCTTGATTTCCAGAACTTTTCCTCCTTGTAAACAGAAACTCCATCCCCATTAAACAACAACTCCTCATTTGCCTTCCCTAGCCCATACTAACTTCCGTTCTACTTTCTGTCTTTAAAATGGACTACTCTAAGTACCTCCTATTAAGTGGAATCATATAGAATTTTTCATTTCCTGTCTGTTAACTTCACTTGTTAATAGCATAATGTTTACAAGGTTAATCTGTGTTGCAGAATGTATCAAAATTTCATTCATTTTGAAGGCTGGACAATATTCCTTTGTATGTACATAACACATTTTGTTTATCCATTCTGTTGTTAGACATGGGTTGTTTCTACCTTTTGGTGACTGTGAATATTTCTTCTATGAATGTAGGTGTACAAGTAGGTATACAAGTAATATATACCTTGGAGTAGAAGTGCTGGATCATATGATAAGGCTATGTTTAACTTTTTGAGGAACTGCCAAATTTTTTCCATAGCAGACACAGCGTTTTACAATCCCATCAGCCATGCACAAGGATAGCCCTACATTTCTTGAAGTGCCTTGCATTTCAATTACACATTATGCCTCTTCTCTTGAATGATCGAATATAAATTTTAAAACATCAACATTTTTTCCAGGTTCATTGTTCAATATTTAGTAAAGTGGCCATGATATATAATTGTATAATTTAAATCAGTCAGCCGGGTGCAATGGCTCAAGCCTGTAATCCTAGCATTTTGGGACGCTGAGGTGGGTGGATCACTTCAGGTCAGGAGTTCGAGACCGGCCTGGCCAACATGGTGAAACCCAGTCTCTACTAAAAATACAAAAATTAGCCAGGTGTGGTGGCACACACCTATAGTCCTACCTATTATGGAGGCTGAGGCAAGAGGATTGCTTGAGCCTGGGAAGTGGAGGTTGTGCAGTGAACAGAGATTGTGCCACTGCACTCCAGCCTGGGTGACAGAGCAAGACTCCACCTCAAAAAAAAAAAAAAAAGAAAAAAGAAAAGAAAAAGAGTGAATCCATTAGCTGTGTGATCACTAAAATAAAATAAAATCAGGCTCACAGGGTTAGGTGGTTAGGTGTACTGAATATCTACATGGTTGAGAGGTCTATTTTTTTTTTCCATCCAAAGGTCAAAACTTCAAAGATAGAGAGGGCTATTTTAAAGGCCCACAGGCCGGGCGCGGTGGCTCACGCCTGTAATCCCAGCACTTTGGGAGGCCGAGGCGGGTGGATCACGAGGTCAAGAGATCGAGACCATCCTGGTCAACATGGTGAAACCCCGTCTCTACTAAAAATACAAAAAATCAGCTAGGCATGGTGGCGCGTGCCTGTAATCCCAGCTACTCAGGAGGCTGAGGCAGGAGAATTGCCTGAACCCAGGAGGCGGAGGTTGCGGTGAGCCGAGATCGTGCCATTGCACTCCAGCCTGGGCAACAAGAGCGAAATTCCGTCTCAAAAAATAAAATAAAATAAAATAAAAAGGCCCACAAACAGGTGTTTTCACTGTATAGGATACTCATGAAGCCATACAACGTTGCGCTTGACAAAGTAAGCAAACATTGAAGGTCTGTGTGCACTCTTCTGTAAAATCAACTAATAAATAAAGCAAAGTCTCATCCTAGCTATATTTGAAAGTTAATGAACATGACCAGAACTAACATTAAATCCAAGTATCAAATTGACGCTTCACCACAAAGATCTATACTTGTTTGAACACAGAATAGATTGGTAAACTCTATCAGGTATTTCAATTCCTATTCTAAGTGATTTGATGGTCTGAACTCTGGGTGAGTTTTGATGGGAGAGAATAGTCAGAAAT